AAAAACTGGATGTGCCTGGGCACATACTATATTAGAAATAAAAGTGAGTATTTTCAATTAGACTAGGCAGCAGTATGATGAGACCAAAATGGGGATAGATCCTTTCCCCAAAAACTGTTCTTTCTGATATTATCTACTTGATAGGGTCTTCAATACTTTTCTGTGACAGGCATTAATTTGATGGATGAGATAGAAATAGCAGGGAGGCAACTGGTTAAGAATGAACCATCCCTCAAATTACTCATAGGTAATTAGAAATAATTTTTATTATTATTTTTAAAGCTAACCTCGAGAGCATTGGTTTTCAAAGTGTCCTTGCCAACCAGCAGAATAAAGATMACCTGAGAATGTACTAGAAATGCACATTCCCAGGCCCCACTCCAGAACATGAGTCAGAAATTCTGAGGGTGGACCAGAAATCTGGGGATGCCCTAAAAATAACAAGTCTTTCAACAAGTCTTCCTGGTGATTATGCTATATTGCCCTCAGATTTTAAGTAATTATTTTCTTATATCATCAATATTTTCAAGATTTTTTTTCTTTTTCAACTAATGTTTGAAAGTTCAGAAAACATAAAATGACAAAAAGGTGACAGGAGACCATGGGTTGTTTAAATATTTCTTCCTAAGAGTGCTTTAAGAAGAATTCTGTGTTTGGCATTTTGAAGTGGGGGCTGTAAGTGAAATCTCTTCTTCCAGGATGAGGATTCCTAAATCCTTTCACAAATGGCTGCCATATTTCCAAAGAAATATATTTATTCTGAAWTTTTGTGTCATTTGGTTCATCTATATTAGCCTTATTGTGACAAAATATCATCTTGACCAAAGGAAATATTATTTTTAAAAAGTCTCTGAAAAGAGATCAAAGTCTTTGACACAAAGCTTTTTAAAAAATAAGTTTATAAAATTTTCTTTCTACCTTTTTTATCTGTGCATCATAGTTGTAGATACAATGTTTTAAATAGAGTGTATTAAGTTGTGCACATGTTGAAAAACTATGATTTTCCTGGAAAACAGTTTGAATAGTATCTTGTTTTTCTGGATAGGCAGAGAAAGTCTCCCTAGGAAATCATGTGGAAGGTGTATGTTCACCTTTAAGGAAACCGCCAAATTGTTATCCAAAGTTGTTGTACCATCCTACATGCATACCCGTAGTGTATGAGAATTCAAATTGCTCCATGACCTCAGTGACCTGTGGAATTGTAGTAGGTAGCTTGGTATGACAGACATTTCATTACATATGTAGTTATATCTTATAGTGATTTTCATTTGCATTTCATTGATGACTAATGATGGTAAATATCTTTCTATGTGCTTATWTGCCATTTGAAGATATTCTGATCCAGCCATTACATTTTTAACCTAAAAATAAAAGCATAAATCCATATAAAAACATGGATTCTTACTGTTGATTCAGTTGTGTCTCCTCAAAATTCTTATTGAAGCCCTAATCCAATAAATTTATGTAGAAATGAGGCTATAAAGGAGAAATTAAGATTAAATGAGATCATAAGGGTGGTGCCCTAATGCTAAAGAATTAGTGTCATTATAAGAATAGAACTTAGATTGTTTGCTCTAGGAGAGAGCTCTCTCATTCTTTCTTTCTCTTTTTGGCTAGGTGAACACACAAAGAAGAGGTCATGTGAGTACAGGAAAAGGTCATGCTGGAGCAATGATCTTGACTTCCAGCCTCTAGAACTGTGAGAAGATAAAGGTCCATTGTTTAAGTCTGAGTCTATGGTGTTTTGTTATGGTTGCTGGAACTGACTAATATGATCTACATAGAAACTTTATTTGTAATAGTCAAAAACTGGAACCCACCCATATGAATGGGAAAACAATTTGTTGTACATACAATTGAATATCACTAAGCAATAAAATTGAATAAACAATTTATAAACATGGATAAATCTCAAAAAGATCGTGTTAAGTGAAACAACTAGACAATAGTGATACTGTGTGACTCTACCTATGTAAACTCTAGAAAGAGTAGATAATCTATAGTGACAGGATACAGATCTTTGGTTGCCTGGGGGCAGAGACGTGGTGAAGAATGGGAGGGAAGGATTATAAAGGTACAGGAAGAAACTTTAGGGGGTGATAGATATCACTAGCTTTACTGTGGTGATGATTTTATGGGTATCTTCATATATCAAAACTTAGTAAATTAGCTGGGTGCACATGCCTATAATCCCAGTGACTCAAGAGGATAAGGCAGGAGGATTTAGAGTTTGGGGCCAGGCTGGTCAATTTATTGAGAACTTATCTCAAAATAAAAAGGGTTGGGGATGTAGCTCAGTGGTGGAGGCGCCTCCATTCAATCTCCAGTATTGTAAACAAAACAAACAAAAACAAAAAATATTATTTTTAAAAGATATATGCAGTTTATTGGCAATTGTACTTGATAATATTGTTTTTTAAAAAAACCTGTGGTCTTCTTATCTCTAGGAAGCCCTAATTTTGTGTTAAACAGACTTTTAATTTTACTTTCTTTAGATATTGACAAAGAAATGGAAAAGAAGATGTCTGAATCAGAAAAGGCTATTATATGTATGGCATGTCATGGCTTTGTACCTTCTCCTATGAGGAGCCTGGAACAGAATTTCTGCTCCACTCCAAACCTTGCCATTACCATTGAAGGTCAAAACCAAATCAGGACAGATCAAAGGGCTGAGGTTTTGGCTTAGAAGTAGAGAGCTCGCCTGGCATGTGTGGGGCACTGGGTTCAATCCTCAGCAACACATAGTAATATAATAAAGGTATTGTGTCCAAGTACAACATATATATACAGATCAAAGGACCATAAAAGAGGTAGAAGCAAAACTCAAACCTGGAATACAAAAGATTAAATGTAGACCTTTTTGATTTTTGTAAGGTTACAAAATTGGATACCATAAAGAGTGAAAATTCATTAATCTTTCAATTACTTTTAGTAGTTGGTATTTAAAAAAACCCCTATATTACAAAACAAAATCAAAACCAAAACACCCTCCTCAAGTAGTGAGGCTAAAATCCAGAGGTGTCAGCAACTGTGCAAAATTTTGACATTAAATCCCAAAGTTGAAACAAAATTTTATTAGAAGTTCAAGACCTGCATCACTTTCACAGGAAGCTTGGAAGGTAAGTAGGCTTTTATTCATCCGTTATGTAAAGTTCACCCCAAATATAACTATCGTATTTTGAGGGGGTGTGCTGATACACTATTTATACTAAACTGTAATAACATGGAAGGACAAAATTTTCGTGGCATATCAGTATGGAAGGAAACCCCTCAACGCTGGAAATTGTTTATTTTTACTGTGCTGTTGCGATAATCGGGTTTTTTTTTTTTTTTTAGCTCTAACGTCCTAGGTTTTAAGCAAATTCTTTGAGCTTTGGCTACCCAAGCTCAAGTGGTAGAGAGGGAATTCAAGACTATATTTGAATCTAATAATATCGAAAAGAGAAGTTGTCTGGAGAGCCTCCTATCCACACAGCTCCGCCGTTCCCCTCCACGACTTGCATTAACTTGCTGCTGCTTCCCAGCTGGGGAACACAGATTGCACCTGCTCCGAAGGCCAACGGGGTCCTGCGGGGTCCGCAACTCAGCCTCCGTTGCTGGTGCACAGACGCGAGGACCCACCAGGGGTCACTGTAGCCTCAGAGCTATTGTGCCCGCCAATCCTGGACGCGGCCAGCCGCGCGGAGGGCGTGGGACTAAGATCGCTGAACGCTAGGGTCGAAGCAGAACTGCGCCTTGTCCTCCCGAGCCAGCCTCCCGGTCTCCTAGGGAAACCGAAACAGCGAGTCCCCAGACAGCAGCTCGGCTTGGGTGCAGCGCACAGCTTTCTCGTGCCCACCTGCCGGCACCTAGCCATTTGGACCACCTCCACTCCGCCCTCCGCACCCAGCGAGATCCCGCCCAGAAGGGGCGCCCCTGCCACGGTCTAGGGGATCMAGCTAGGGCTTTTCGAAGGCATCTGGGCTGGGCCCAGCTGCACCTGGACTGCTTCCGCCCGGGACGCCACCCCCAGCAACGCCCAAATAACTTTCCCCGGAGCCCCCGCGGCCTGGCGCGCCCGGGGCACACCCCCACCCTCCCACCACTTTGCCAGCCAGGGCGCCGGCTTCTCAGCGCGATCGCCCGCRGATCCTCGACTCCCGGCTTTTCTAGCTGTCCTGCAAAAGCAGGACTCCCCCGCKGCTGCAGGACGTTCCCCGAAGGAGAGCTTGAACTTGGCCACACACGAACCCCGGTAATGAGTTCGGGAGCCCCCAGACCGGACCCTTGTCCCGCGACGAGCTGACGCCCCCTCGCTGGTCTCGGTAAGGAGCCCACTGTCCTTCATCGGGTCTCTGGATGCCCACGGGATGGAGTGTTGTGGGTAGCGGTCTGAGTGACGACTCTCGCCACTGCCTGTGAGCCYTTGGTTGAGATGTCGTGGGTACCCCTGACACAAAAGAGAAGCCGAGAGCTCCCCTTTTGGCCGACCGGTCGGGCGTGTGGGGCGGGGTCKGTGGTGCAAGTCCGCTCCTGCTGGGGACTCCACAGGCTGACGAGCCGCGGGTGCGTCGCGGCCACGCTGGAATTGGTGCTGGTGGAGGGAGCTGTAGAGCTTCAAGGGGGCCCTTCCTAGTCCGAGGAGGGCCTCGGGCAGCCGTATCTCCTTTTCTTGTCTGACCCCCATTGCCAGGAGACTTTTGTCGTCCCCAGGTCTGTGGAGGGGCCGCGTCACMGCCGCCTTCAGAAGAGTCACAGCCGGAGCCGCAGGATGCACGGGGACGCGCCGCCCTCCGCGCCCAGTTCCGCCGGCGCTTCCCCGGCGGCTCCCGGGCGCTGACTCTCCCAGCCTTCTCCGCCCTCCTTGCTTCTCGCGGCGCCAGGAGGCTCCGCAGCTCGGCTCCGGACTCCACCGGGAGCAGCTTCTCTCGCTTTCGCCACGGCGSGGACAGTAAATTAATGCTTCGTGTTTGAGGGGAGGGGGCGGCTTTGCGCTCGGTCACAGCTTTCTCGCCTGGCTGGAGACGGTCACAGTCGACATGGGCTGTTTCTGCGCTGTTCCGGAAGAATTTTACTGCGAAGTTTTGCTCTTGGATGAATCCAAGTTAACTCTCACCACCCAGCAGCAGGGCATCAAGGTAGGCATGATCGGGGGGCGCGTTCCCGGGTCGACAGCAGGGCGGGCGCAGGGGTCCGCGGCTTTGTCTGAGGGCTGTCACGGGTCGAGGCTGGCGGCCGCGTCTCTGCGCTGTGGGAAGGAGAGGCAGATGCCCCCTGCGCTCAGACACAGGGTGGACGTGTTACGGTGGGTTAACTTTCAGTTCCTGCATCAAGTACTTCGACGTCGCAGAGGTTACTCCATGCACCAATCCAGCCGCAGCCCACCGTCCTGCAAAGGAGACTAAAAGTCTGTCCACCACCGATTTTCTCCCAAAGCTTTAAGGCCCCTCGCAGCTCCGAAAGAGATGCAAAATTGAGTGTACAGGCTGCACTTTACCCCAGGGTTGAAGGCATGATTGTCCTTGGTTTTGTTGATTTTTTTTTTTTCTTGATAGCGTTCTTGGAGAAGTAAACTAAACTGGTTTGACTCCTTGAAACACATTAACCGGGTTGTTGTGATTGTGTTGTAGCTGGGTAAGGCTACATTTGTACTGAAAATAATTTCCCTTTCCGCGAACGAACCGGTTTAAGTAAACGTCTCACAGTTAAGTAAACGTCTCTCAAAGCTACTCGATAATAACTTTGCTTTTAGTTATTAAAAATGCGATTACTGCTATTTACCTACAAAACCCGAACAAACAGGCTGCAGACCTTTCACAGATCCACTTCCTTAATTTTGAAGAGTACCTGACAACCTGAGGATGCGCCTGCGCGCTTGTTTCGCCTATTGCAACAATTGAACTACCTAGAGGAGACCCGAATCCGGAGCTTTTTATTGTTTTGCTTCCCTTTCCCTTCAGTTTAAATCACTGAGGTTTTTKAGATAACGCGGCAGCTGAGTCTGGTGAAGGGAAACCTCCCTCCCAACCCCCAATAGAGCYGGCTGGCTGGCTGAAAAATCTAGTTCAGGCTGCCAAGAGCCCTCTCCTCTCAGAAGTTAATCCTGATGGGGTAGGCCTGGGCATTTCCTTTTGCGAATCCGTTTTAACACAGCTGGCGTACTGAAGTAACTGTTCCTGGCTAAAAGTCTCAGCGTTGATGATGCCATTTTTGGTGTACAGCGTTCTCATATCACACACAGGTGAACTTCTTTTGCAGGAGAAAAGGGTGAAGTGATCTATTAAAGCTATGAGGTTGTTAACCCTTTCTTTAGGAAATTGTTTTGAATATTGTTTCCACAGTAATTAAAATAAGCAAAATGTWGTCAGGTCTCATTTGATATTTTCTTTCAGGACCAATAAAACAGGATCTTTTGGGGGAGAGTGTTCATTTTGTATTTTTAACTTGTATGTTCCCAAACATCCCCCTCGGATGCCCACAGAAATCAGGAAAAGAATTTACAAAATGATGTAACATTCTGTGGTGTGCTATGTGAATAAAATAGGCCAAAAAAATCATAAAACATCCTAAATTCTTGATAATACATAGATTCTCTGGTGTGGGAGTGGAAACAATTAGAAAAAGATAAGTGATGATCTGATGCAGAAACAACAAAGAAATCTTTCTGAAGTGCAAAGTCTCAGTTCATCTGGAGTCTAGTCATCTGCAGTGTGAGCTTCCTATTTAATCATAAAAGCCGTGCCCCTGTCAGTGGTGGAGCATGTACATTTTTCTGTCAAGAGGGCAGCCAAGACTTGGGATCAAATGGAATAATTTTGTCAAAGAAACATGAATCAAACGTCCTGATCCATAATTATTTTTAATAACCCAGTGGTGCTTATCTTGTTTTACAAATGGGTTGAAAATTGGTGAGTGATGCAAGGGCAACAGCAACTTTATAATACTGTTATCTTGGCTGTATGCCATATAACTAAACAATAATTTAAGTGAGCTTTTGTTGTAAGTAATCATTTCCCAACAGGCTTGGTCTCTTTCAGTGTCACAGAAGCATACTATGTTATTTTGATGGCCATGTGTGTAACATAGATATTGTCTGCTAAAGTTAACCACATTATCAGTAACTACCATGCAACCATAAAAATGTATGTTAAGCACCTTGTGGTATGTACTAAATTAAACATTTGGGTATTTATAAGTGGCATAAGGTATGAAAAAGCAACCTTTTATGTAAACGATGCTCATACCTTGAATATGTGTATGTCTTTCTGCACATATCTGACTTTAAAAWTTTTTTCCTAACCTTCCTATATCATAGATATTAATATTCCATTGTATTAATCAGATAAAATCAGCTCCTACTTTAGTTCATAAATGAAAAAGTAAATAATTACTTCAAAATTAACCAATAGTTACTATTGTGGTGTTTTACTGTGAGATAATACATTCAATAATTTTGATTATCACTTCATTAAAAACAAAGTTAAGCAGGCAGCATCAATTAGCTAATATTCCCTGAAGTGAACATAGAAAAACAAACAAAAAAAAAAGAATTTGCTTGTATTGCTGCTATARTAATGCATTATGGGTTGGAAGATTAATTGGAATAAAGTACAATAATTATGAGAGAAGCTTTGTAAAACATTTTTTTTCTGTGTGCCATTTTGAAAAACACCTTTTGAATCAAAGTACCAGATTACAAATTGAAAAGTTATGAAGTAATTTTCTACAACTTAAAATTTTTCATTGACTTTGGAGAAAAAATGCAGTTTCTATAGAAAGCATTTTAGCCTGAAGACAATAGTTATATTTTGTATGTTCAGGTGAGTATCATTTAAATGGAAAATRATTTTGTTTTAAAAAATAAGACACAATATTTTTGTAACCATATTAATAGGTTTTTACATTCTTAACTTGCTTTAGAGGTAACCTCACTTGGCAAGCAGGAAATCTTTTTCATGCAGTTCATAGATTGAGTCCTATCCAAGATTTAACTACCCAAGTTTGTATAAACTGAAAACTATTGGTTGTGTGTTGAGCCCCACAATAGCTTTTAGCTGTTTGTTCTCTGCTGCTATCTCTATTGTTTATTCAAGTAAGAATTTCTGCTATGGTTGGTCTCAGTTTTTTGAGTAATGTTTGGTTTGGGAAACTTTTGTTAGGTCTTTTGYTTTGTGTGCTAGGGGAGGTAGAGATCTTTCTTTCTTTTAGAAAGTAGACTTGAATGTGGCTTAAACTAATTTTTGGATTAATTGGTTAGCAAAAGATTTTTCAGGGGGAAAAGTCACAGGTTTGTTTCTAAATTTAGCCCTCAGAATTGCTTGCTGTTGCAAATATAAATAGATTAATATTTTCATTTCAAAAAATTTGATCCTCTGAAATGAATACCAAGGTACTCATGATTCCTTTTAGTGTTGACTAAGTTAATGAAACCTAAGATGACAGAGAAATTGGAACCCCATTARCTTTTTAAAGGAATTTATGGAGATATGCAACACAATTTACCCAGTTAAAACATACAATTCACTCATTAACTGTTAAAAAATGTTACCTCTTAAATATCCTGAGATTTCTGAAGGAATACTATAAGTCAGTTTTAATGCTTTGATGAGAAACTTCCTAATAAACCAGAAAAACAATTATAAGGTGAGAATTTAAAGTATATGTGTCTTACCAAGAATTGTAATTTTCATTTCATTTGAATGGTAATGAAAATGTCTTATAAGATTGGGGAAGAAAGTGAAAAGCAACAGTTTTTCATAAATTATATTAAGCATCTATGTGAATACCTGTATCTTTTATTGTTTTTTTTTTTTTGCTGTTTCTATAGAAACACATATCTTATAGACTTGGGGACCTTATAAACATTAGTTGAGGCAAGAAATCATATAGTAACATTTCTGGTAATGTAAGCTGACTGGGGTCTGGAATGGTCAGTACATTAGATGGGACTAGGATAGAAAATTCCCTTCTCTACACTGTATCCAGCTTTTTTTGTTTGTTTGTTTTAGTTGTAGATGGACACAATACCTTATTTATTTATTATGTGGTGTCAGGGATCAAACCCAGTGCCTCATGCATGCTAGGCAAGCGCTCCATCAGTGAGCTTCAACCCTGGCCCCACATCCAGCTTTGTAAGATTCAGATGTGAGATCCGTGTTGTGGTTGCATAAGATGAACTAATATATAACCTGCCATTATAAGCAGTTTRTTTTTATTGGTAAAATACTTTTATCAGCCATAACTTAAATATGATTTAAAAACTAAGAGGGAGAACATTGTTTTGTTACCTCTAGCAGCTGATGGCCTACCTTCTCCAGGGGCTTATAATGTTCTTGGCTAATGGTGGACCACATTCTTTTGCAGCCCAGTTACGATGTCTGTCTGTTCTCGAATTCTATAATGTGAAGCTTGAACTGAGTTTGAACTGAACTTGAATGAATGCAGTGTTTTTGTTGCTTTTGAGCATGGGTGGTAAGGTTAAATCTAAATTGTAGGAATAAAAGTCCAGGCTCTACTTCTTATTGGCTCTGTGGACAGTGGTTTGTTATTTTTATTAGGACACTTACACTCAAGATGGGAATGTAATTTGTTTGGTCAGATTTTATTTGAGACTGTAGGGCCAGGCAGTTCTTTCCTGTGGTAGGTTGTCCTTTCCATTGTGTGATACATGGCTGCATTCTTAGCTACTACCCAGGAGATGCCAGTTGCACCTCTTCCCTAGCCATGACAACCAAAAAATGTCCCCATGTGTTGTCCAGTGTCCACTGATGGTCAGTATAACCGTTGGCTGAGAACCAGTGCCAGAGAGCATGTGGCTTCCTTTATTCTTAACATTTTTGGTACTTAATTTCCTGCAGGATGCAGGGTAACCTTGAGATGTCTCCTGTTCCCTCCCTCTCCTTGGGAGTGGTGAGTTGTTTATCTTTTATTCAGTGAAAACAATATGATTTTCTGTGTCTTTTAATGTGCTTATTTTTATAGTGGGAGCAATATAATGGGAAAAAATAAAAGCCTGTGTCCTGAAATCAGACCTCCTGGTTTTAAATTTTGTCTCCACTAATACTAGCTGTGGGGCCATCATGAAAGATACTTATCTTTTCTGAGTCTCAGTTTCACCATGTGTAAAATGGGTACAAAT